CCGGCGGCCAAGGACCCCCAGGCCAGGCTGCAGGGAAGAGAAGAAATCGACCGGCTTGCCCAGGGAAGCCTCCCACCCGCCGCCGTCACCGCTGCCGCCTCCGCCGCCCCAAACCATTGCACTAGCCTCCCGGGGTCAGGCTGACTGCGAGGATGTGCACTTGCCTTCTAATCCTGGCCACGTGCCTGAGCACCTCCCTGCATCCCTACACTCTCTGCACCTCTGCACCCCTGTCACTCTCTGCACTTCTGCACTGCCTGCACTTCTGCACCCCTTCACCCCTGCATCCTCTGAACTGCCTGCGCCCTCCACAGCCCCTGAATCCCTGTCACCAGTTACACTTTTGCACTGCCTATACTCCTGCACCCCTGTATGTCCCACAAACCACCTCTTGGGCCTGTGGCAGAGTCTCTGCTGTTAGACCAATGCAAAGGGATTCACATCTTTTCCAGTATATGATGCATCCGTGGACGTCTGGGGTTGGCTGCAGGAAGGTACATGTTCCCGGTCATTAGCCTGGGCCACTAGGGTGATCTCTGTGAGGTCACCCAGGACGGGCTCAGTGATGCTGTTCTCTGGGAAGAGAGGAGTTGAAACAGGTCTTGAGGGCAGAGCTGTGCTCACCAGGCCGTCCATGCTTCATGTTTTACACAGGGCTTCGGAGAAGTGAAATGGATCGGGCCAAGTAAGACTGGCCTGCTGTGCGCCCACCTCAGTCTTGGGCTCTGAGTCAGACCGACTGGCTCCCATCCTCAGGGCCCAGTTTGGGCACCTAAATGGCCCCTTTGAGGCATCCCATCCGTTCCCAGGAAGAAGTCTGCCTGATTCCACGCCACGGCCCTCCCTCCTGTGCTGGCCTCAGGAAGGTTCCTTATTTGGGGAAGAAGGCAGCCCACCCCCTGCCCCACCCCTCATCGTGCTCTCACCCAGGCTGGTGCTCTCTCTGCCCTTCAGAGTCTGGAAAGCCATCCCTCTTCAGTTATGTCCCTTCTGAGATGGACTTGCTTCCACTCAATTCTAGGCGAGGATGCACCATGGAATGCACTGGGTAAGAGAACCAAAATAGTTTCTTCTGTGAAGTTTTCTGTTTATCTACTGGGGCTGGGCTGTGTGTAGTTTGCTACAGTTATTGGTGCGAGAGGCTAAAGCCACCTGTGTGTCCTTGTTTTCATCTCCCCGCTGTCTTGGGGTTTTCCCTAGACACTCCTGAGACATTTACTTCTTTTAGTTTTATTCCTGTTATTACACAGGGGCCCAACTGTCATGGAGGTAAGGTGTTGGGGGAGCGGGACAGATCAGGGCATCTGTAGTCCTGTGATTAGTTCTCATTGAGCCTCTGCCCTGAGCTGTGACCTCCACAAGTGTGTCTCTTTCCCCCAGCCCAATTTGGGTGACACAGAAGGTATTTCCCTTCCCCCAGGTTGGTTAGGCTCTGGTAAAACTATTTCTCATTAAAAAAACAAACAGACAAAAAACAACTTCCCCCAATGAAACAGAATGTTCTGGGTGTATTTCAATAGAGTTATTTTCTCCTTTCCAGGCAGGAAGCATGAGGAGTTATCCTCTGACCTTCATCCTGAGAACAGGACACGGTCCTGGAGGTAAAATGCATGAAAAAGAGCATGGGGCCCCTCTTACTGGCCCCCTGGAGTTGTCACACTTGGACTTCCCCACGCTGAGCCTCCCGCTGGCCTCAGGGACCTGTTAAATCTGCCTGCCCCTGGGGTTCTTACAAAAGCGGGTCCTGCCCTGGGAGCTGTGACTCTCCAAGCCTGCCCGGCTGCCTCTCTGGTTTGGGAGCAGCTTTTCCCCTCAGTTTTCTGGGATCTAAGAAGCGCAGTGGGATTGCAGCTCCCTCAGCTCTGGTGTTGTTTTCAGGACAGAAGGAGTAATTTCTGAGCTCCACACGAGCTGGGCCAGAGGCTGAAAGCCTCCCCTCCTCTGCCTCCGTGTAATCAGTGGCTGTTGTTCTAGCCGAGTTTCTGAAGATGTGGATTTAAACACACACATCCCAGCCCCTACAGGAGCACACAGTCCCATAAATCCCCCCAGTTTCCACTGGTAACTACGAAGCCAATGGGGACACGGGTTTCGGGACCACAGAGGCATGCCTGCACGACTTGCTCCGTGGCCTATTAACGTGGTTGCTCTGGGCCTTGTCTGAAGTGGCTTGCTTACCGCACCTGGTACATGGAAAACACAAAATAAGTACTAGAACCATCACTTTTTCTCCCTCCAGGGCCTTCAAACATAGAAAGTAGTAAGTGAACTCAGACGGCCTAGTCACCACAATGAGGTCCATCCAGCCTGGCTCTCCTGAGTGATGGGCACTGACTTGCACCTTAACTCGGAACAGTAGGGGAACCGTGTTCCTCTAACTGGGCATCTCCCCACACCGGGCACGCCCTCAGCTGAGACGGGGCCAACTCACCCACTGAGGTGTGTGTTGGTGGCTTCAGTGTGACCTGGCCCTGCCAGGATGTGAACCTGCAGTGAGTGAGGTGCAGGGTCGGGTGCAGGGGGGGTCCCTTCTGGGGTGGCAGGGGGCCCGGTAGCACCCCGCCCAGCCTGGTGCCTGGGGCTCCCAAATATCTCCTACGGCCCCCGGGTCAGCTCTGGTCCGGGCCACTCCATGCACCCTCCCAGCATCTTTTCATTAAGTCCCTTTTTTGCTTTTATCAGCCAGAGGTGGCTTCTGTTGCTTGTTCAGTGAAATAGTGCATTAGGAAACCAGACTATTTCTAAGATCAGTAAAACACCAACTACGGTCAGCTCACCGGGCAGACCGTGCAGCACAAATTCCCGCACAGGGCTGTGCAAATGCCTTACATGAAGGGTCCTCATCATCTGTCTTCAGAGATACAGAAGCCGGTGGTTCAGGTAAAACCTCAGGGAGGGATTGAGGAATCCAAAGCTGGTTGGTTTCAAAGAGTAACCGGTCGGACCAGACCCCTGAGCTGTGGTCAGAAGCCTGGCTCAATGTCACGCAGACTCAGTGCCTTAAGTGTCCGGTGGGGCCGGTGCTGTTCCCTTTACAGGCTCTCGTTGGGGAGTCACTGTAGCCCCTTACACTTAGCATGGATTCCAGCCCTTTTATCCCCCATCCTGAGTGTTCCATGACACAAATCTCGGGAGTCTTTAATTTTCATCTTTATTTAGGAAGATGAAGTTGGGGCAAAAGGAGACATAAATTCACACTTAGTGACACCAAGTCAAAGCCAGTACCTCCTCCTCAGGGAGCTATGTGCTCCCACAGTGGTGGCTGGGGAGCTAGGCAGAGCACCTCCACTGGTCACAAAGGGACTTACTCCTCTGACTACAACTGATGGGTTGGACAACCAACCCAGAAGGGACAGAGCATCTTTCCCTGGAATTTGAAACTGACACAAAGAAATTAATTTCACTCATCTGGGGATTAGGAGGAGGGTGGGAATCAAATGAAACCAGAGCAGGAGAGAAAGTTACAAGTGAATGAGAGAGAGACAGAGAGACTGAGCTTGTGCGAGCAAATAGTGGGAAGGAAGGAAAACAATCATGGGAACGAGGAATTCCAGCTCCTGTCTGTCTAGTGTGTCCCAGCCCATCAACGAACCTGCTGGATTGTTAACATCATTCCAGGTTTGCAGATTAGAAAACAGGCTGAAAGAGACAGGGGTTGGCTTCGGGTGCACAGTTAATTTAAGTGCCACTGGACCTCTGACTTCCCACTGCCTGAAGGCACCATGATCCTCACAGGGACCCTGCTTTGCTGACAGTCCAGCACCCTGATCAAAGGGACCCTGCGGGAGTGGGAACCTCTCTGAGTGTGGAGAGTTCCCTGCACCAAGCTTCCATACATCAGCCGGCTCCCACTCACCCTAGGTTAATGTCTCCCCAGCTGCGAAACTCCCGACACGCTTCCCTCCCTGCCAGGCACCCCCGTTCTTACCACCGAGTGTACTGCAGGAATTCAGGCACAGGGATGCCATAAGCAACACGAGCCCACTGGTTGTACAAACAGCAGACTCCCAGCCCCACCTGGGCTCCATGGGGACAGTTGGTGTTCTCATCTTTCATGTATCTAAGGCAATCTGTTTCTTCTGCTGGAGGCTATAGAGAAAAGTAAATGTTCCAATACATCTTTCAGTGAGGAATTCCTCCAAGGACCTGACTTCAGAGTCTACAAACAGTTGTGCTGGCCGCTGCTACCCCCAGACTTTGGGTGAGGTGGATTATTGATCAGCACAATAGCCGGTGGCCCAGCTCCTTGGCTTGGCTGCCCAGAGGGGGCTGGGGGAACGGGTAAGGCCAGGACACTCAGGAAGAGCACAGAGAACCTGACCTCTCCCTCCGCACTTGTAAACCACCAAATCTCAAGGCATCGGACAGAGTGTAGCCACCACAATAATGAGATGCTCCCATCTCTTCACTCACTCCTGTCGGTTCACTTAAATGCTTAGCATCCACTGGGTCACAGGACATGACACACAGGATGGCCGATGGGACAGGCTTGGTCCTTCCCCCTGGATCCTGTTCAATCTGATGGAAGAATGATCACTCATAAACGGTTTCTCAAAAGGATACATAGACAGAAGACAAACTGCAGAGTGAATCAAATTTTAAAATATAACTCTAGATCCCCCACTCTCCCCGCCTAAGGTTAACAGCATAAAGAAAATAGATCTTGCCTTTGATCACCAAGAAAGTGGTCACCCGCTCTCAGGAGGAAAGGAGAATTATTCTTTGAGCAGGACACAGAAGTGCTCCATTGGATTGGACCAGGAGCTCTGCATTCATTCAGCAAATCTGTATAAGCTCCTACTACATATGGGAAACTAGTAACTATACCCATTCCCAAGGGTCTTGTGCTTTATTAGTCAACAAAATAGACACGACTCCCTATCACTGGGGGATCAGAGTTTTAGCAGAGGAAACAGGCAGCATGTTGGGGTAGCAAGAGCTTGGGGAAATATAAGAGTGATATAAGCAAACTCAGGTGATGGTGGTGGGGTGCGAGGCAGGCAGGAGACAATAAGGCAATCCTGGCAGATCTCACGGAGCAATGAACTTGAAGCAGCATAGATCCGGAGGAAGAAGAAAGAGCCGGAGCCAGAGGCCCCCAGAGTGAGGGGGAGAGTGTGGGCGGAGAGGCAGAGCACGCCGAGTCCTGGAAGAATTTGGGACGGCTTTGGCTCCTAATGAAATGGTGACCCTTTTAGTGAGTTTTGATGGGATGGGTGATGTCCAATTTATGCTTTTGTTTTGTTTTTTTGGGGGGGAGGGTAATTTATTTTAGTGAAGGTGCTGTGGTTTGAACCCAGGATCTCATGCATGCTAAGCATGTGCTCTATCACTGAGCTACACCCACCCCCTCAATGTATGCTTTTATAGGCTCTGACTCTGTGTGGATGAGATAGTAGGAAAGCAAAGATGGAAGAAGGAGGCTATTTGGTGTTCAAGAAGGGGCTGAAGGTGGCTCCTACGAGGGTGGGAAACAGGGAGTAGGTGGTTAATGAAGACAGAGTAGCCAGAATTTTCTAACAAGCTGGATTTGCTGTGTGTGTGTGTGTGTGTGTAAGAGAAAGAGAAAGAACATGGTTCCAACATCTGGACCTGGAAAACTGGATGGATGTCTTCTCCATCCACAGGGGATGGGACAAGATGGGGCTGAACAGGTGGAAAGGGGTTGGAATCAGCTCAGTTCTTCAATGTTATGGTTAAGGAGTCTATTAGATATTGCCACAGAAATGCCTAATACGTAGAGGAGTCTGAGGTATTTTTCTTTCTTTTTAACATTAAAAAATATAATTTAAATGTATTAATTTTATTATGTGAAAGAATTTGGAATTTTATTTCATGCCAAGCTATATGTTATAATAGCCAAATGGAAAATATATCAGAAAAGGGGAGAAATGAGGGCTTTCACATAAACTGACTGTCCATAACGTAGGTAAAATTTCAATAAAACCAGTCTTCAGTGCAAAAACCTCATCTTGGTGTTACATAAAATTAAATGAAAAAGGACTATGTTGATGTATCATTATTTCATGTTACATAACAGCCCCAAACAAACACACTGTTTTACTATGAGGCTTTTAGAAATACTATTCACTTTATTGACATAAATACAGAAATGCAGTAAGGTACTAAGGTAGAATAAGCATCTTAGTGGAAATAATAGAGATCTGAGCATTTTACATGATATGTATGGACTGATTCAAAATTTGGAAAAGTAATTTTCACAGTAAAACATATGTATGAATGTGAAAGCAAGATGAATGAAAGAAAAAGAATATGAGTATCAGGGAGAGAGTTCCGAATGGAAAGGACCAATCAGGGAGTTTTGGACGAATCGAGAAATTGATGGCATGTCAATTTCCAAGTCTGGTTGCTTCCACCAAAGGTATAGCAGAGAGATAGAGGAGAGAACCAGGACCCAACTCTGGGGCACATTCGCAGTAAATGTTTGGAAAAAGAGGACATGTTGGCAAAAGACCAGCCAGTGGATCGAAAGCAGAGCGATGGGCTGGAGGCCAAGTAAAGCAGGAACACGGGGGAGGAGGGATGGAACAGCTGGGTCAAATGCTGCCAAAGGGCCACGTATGATGAAGACTAAAATCTGACCACTATATTTAACAACGTGGGGTCATTGATGGCCTTGACAGAGCATTTTCCATAGAGTGAGGGATCAGGGGAAAAGCCAGAGTGGGTGCAAAAGGGGATGGCTCAAGAGAATATGCAGACAGTGAGTTTAAACTACTCATTAAAGATTTGCTGCAAAGACATGGGGTGGCAATTGGTAAGGGCGAATTAGGGTCAATAAGTGCTGTTTGTTTCTTTTAAGAGGATGGACTTTTATATACTGATAGGAGCCAACTAGCAGGAGAACAAAATAGATGAGGTAGTGACAGAGAGGATGGATGTGTGAGTGACTGCCCAGAGAAGATTGGATGGATGGCCCCCCTGGCGACTTTTGGATGATCTGGCTTTCGATGTCACCTGTAATAAGAGGTAGGGCAGCGAGAGTGAGGTCACAGACACCAGAAGGTGAGCGTATGTGCTGGGAGTTGCTGGTGGAAGTTCTCTTCTGTTGGCTTCAGTTTGCCTGGTCAAAGTAGAAAAGTAAACTTACCAGCTGAGGAACGAGGAGGAAGAGTTACTGGAGTAATGAGCAGAAGATATCAAAGAGCCTTCAGGGACAATGGGACAGTGAAAAGAGCAGGGGGAGATGGGGGGAGTGTGCTCTCAGAAAGTTACATTTTATCTTTGAGGTCCCCAAGGGTTGGATGTGTGATTGCCCTTCCTGCTGTCTATGAAATAAAAATTATGTATAGTTCAGGGAAAATGCTACTTCATTCTAAGAGGCTGCCTGTTTCTCAGGAATGGTCATCTTAAACTGCAAACATTAAAAAAAATTTTGAAAAGAAGAACTTGTGTACCCAATGACCCACTATTTTCTATAAATTTGGTTGCTATTTAGTTCCCCTATCAATACCACAGAACCGATACTGCCTAGGATGGAGATACATCGATGCTTAAATGGAAACGAAATCTGTACCTTTTTTCTAAACTCCATGGCTTCCTTAACATCCCATTCGCCATGGAATTTAGGGGTGTCCGGTATAAGAAATGAGAAACAGTTTGAGAAAATCCCGGCTCAGAATTACACAGCACAACCTCAGCTCAGAAGTATACAGCCGTAAAAAAGTTTAGAAGCAAAACTCCGTAACTACTCTTAAAGAATTTTGCAAACCTGGGCCTGCCCAGATGTTTCCAAACTGGAAAGGTACTCTAATCACTTGACCAGAACGGGAACCAGAGGCTGGTGAGCCTTTTCTGTAAAAGCCAGAGAGTAAATATTTTCAGTTTTGCAGATCATTTTGTTGTAACCATGCAGGTCTGCAATAAGAAAGCAAAGAGCACTGGGAGACAGGAAACAAATGGGCATGCCCACACCCTCCCTTCCACTCAGGGCAGCTTCTCTGTGGTGGGGAGCTTTGCCACAATGACTTGTTTCTTTTTTTCCATTGGTTTCTTTGTTTCCACCTTACTGCTCAAGCTCAGAACTTCAAGTGAGCCTGGTCCTTCAGCATCCATGTAGAGAGAAGGCTGAGCGGGGTTGGGGACTCCAACTGACAGAGAAGAGAGATGGCTTGTCACCATGACATGAGACAATCACACCTTCTGGGGTGAAAGGGAACAAAGATAAGGGAGGGGCACAGCAGTGGGACCCCTGGGTCACCTTCCAGGCTTGCTCTCCCTCCACGGCCACCCTGGGGGCCTGGGTGGTGTTGGAACTCAGCTACAGTGATTAGGCTGAGGAGACTTAGGATAAAGGACCCTCCGTCTCCACACCGGGTTCCAAACGCAGCCTCTCTAAGTCTACCCTCTGAGTTTCTGGAACACAGCTGGAAGAATAGATGAGCAGGCCAGACCCAGAGCCCAAGCCAAACACGATAGGGGTCAAGTGGGGTTGTAACCCCGTGCTCAGTGGTCTGGGACTCCTTGCAAATCTGCAGAAATCCCTGTTCCGCCTCATTCCTGGGAGAAACCCCAGATCACCTCCTGCTCTGTCTGTTCTTCTCTTGATGCTATTGTCCTGGAGGGATGCAGAGTCCTTGAACCTGGCCCTCCAAACGTACATAAGCAGCCTGTTCAATAAAACAAATTATGCACTTTTTCACATTTGCCAGTTTTTTGATTCCAGAAAGGCTGTGGGACTCTTTCTCACTGTCTCCTGTGCCCCCACCACTTTGTGGCCCTCTCCTCATGGAAACACGATTCCCCACAACTGCACCCTGCCTCCCAGCTTGTCAGAGGGGAGTGACCCACAAAGACACAGGTATTTGTGAGGATCCTGTGCCCCAGCAGAAAGCCACGGACAGGGATCTGGCCTCCTGAGTCACTCAGCTCTAATTCAAAGCCTAAACTGGGGACTCTGAACATTGCTGTATGACTTTCTGAGTCACCTGGGCTGGAGGGGCCTGATTTTCCGTTCTAGGAATGGATGTAGTGCAGCCTCCATTTTCAGGGCTGACATTCATGATGGATCTAGTTCCCCCAACTGCACCCCAGGAAGGAGAGGCCCATCCATCCCACTGGTTAGAAACCCAGCCCAGGAGAGTTTTGAAACACCGCATCGCTGTCAGGTCCAGCATCCCTGCAGAGTGGCCCCTGCCCCTGAATGAGCCCCTTACCTGGTCCTTCCCTGCCCCAACATGACCACACCCCAGGTGGTGATGGGGAAGGCAGGGAGTGCAGTGAGGGGTGGAGGGAGTAGAACCCCTTGCTCTGGAGTGAGGGTTCCTGGGGAGACCACAGAGCATGGCACACACCACCCCCACCCTATACCCCAAACTGTTAGCCCCGCCAACACAGGGGCCTCTCTGCGCCCTCTCACCGTGGCTGTCCTGTAAGATTGCACCCAACACGGCATCTGGCACCCCTGCCCTACCTCCCGTCTTGGGACAGACTCTGTCTTCTTGGATACTGCCCAGAAGCGCGAACTCAAGGCCGGCAGCAGGCCTGGCGGATCTGCACTTCAGGTGCCCAAACTGGCCAGCTGTGCGTGCCTGGGCTCAGTCATCTATCTTATCCACCGGTAGCCTGGGTCCACGACCGGTGCAAGCGGAGGCCGCTGAGCCCAGGCTGAGCCCCGCACATGGACAGGTGATGGTACCCCGCTGCCCCGCTGCCCCGCTGCCCCGCCCACTGGTGGCAGCACCGCCCCAGCCTCCGGCCGGTGCCACCTGCAAGTCAGGACTTCCGCGCGGCCCCGCCCTCCCCGGCCCCGCCCAGCTGTCCCATAAGCCTCCCCCACCCCCGTACTGGCCGCGCCCTGGCTCCCATTGGTCCCTCAAGTTCTGCCATCGCACATCTAGACTAGGGAGGACACATGACGCAAACGCTAGGGGAGGGCCCCGCTGCGTTGCCATGGTTACAGGCGCCGCGCTCCGCGCGGGCTGGCGTGCACTTCTGGGTTGGGGAGCGGGCTCCGGGAGTGTGTAGCTGCCAGGGACCAGGCGGTGCTTGCTGCTGGGGATTATGGCTTGCTTGGCTGGGCGACTAGTTCTGTCCTGGTCAGTCGGCGGCTGACATCCTGTCTGGGCGGCGTCCCACAGACGGTAAACGTACGTCCGCGCCGTCGGCGGGGCCGGTGGACATGATCCGGGGTGGGATCGGGGTTGTGGTGATGGCCGGGGAAGGCTGTGGCGCCAGGGAGCGTGTTGGGGCGGGGCGGGGCAGGGCTTGGGCACAGCCTCAAGCTTTCCTCCCCCTCAGGCCCTGGGGCTGGGGCCACGAGCCTGGGTCGCCCTTGGTGTCCGCTGCCTCCCAGAACCCCCTGGGAAGGGCAGGCGGAGGACCCATCTTAGATGAAGTGGGGCCTTACCCAGGTTTTAAAGAGCCCCAGAATCAGATGTTGGAATGGGGTTTTTTATCAGCCTTTTTTATCTGCAGGGAAATTTCAGTTCCATCCAGATGTTGGTTCCTTCAGTCAACCTCAGGAATAAGACACAAGGGTTAGTGCCGATAAGCAGTTATCTAGGGCTTGACCCAAAATAAACTATGCGGGGTGTAGGGATGGTAGATGGGACACTCTCTCTTGAAGTTAGCAGTCTTCTGGGATTAGAGGACCCAACTGAGGATTACATCCTCATCTGCAGTAATGGAGGTTGTGAGAAACACACAGAGAAGGGAGGGGTGTGGTGGCAGTAACTCATTACAGAATCCAGGACCCTTTCCTGGCTCTTGTGTAGAAGAGTCTCACCTTGGTTAGGACAGCAGTTATCAAACTGTATCCAAGGCCCCTGAGGTGCAAGATCATTTTCATAGAAACGCTGGGATGTTACCTGCCTTTTGCACACTCTTGCTCTCCCGAGTTCCTGTGGGGTTTTCCAGGGAAAACCTGTCCTGTGATATCACAAAACAGGGAATGCAGAGGCAGATAGGAGAATTCAGCTCTCACCAGTCCAAAAGAGATTTGCAGAATTTAAAATCACTGCTATTCTTCTCACTAATGATTTTTGTTTTGAAAAATAGAATTATATTTTGTTTAAGAGTATTAATGGTAACATACAGTAGGTTGTTAGTATTTTTAAGTGAATTCATACACTTTTTCTAACTTCTTATTCAACCTCTAACACAGGAAATATTGATAGGTTTAACTCACATAAATAGCAGCTTTTTGGAGTTCTCAGTAATTGTTAAGAGTGTATAGGGTCCTGTAGAACAAGAAGTTTGAGAGCCCCTGGAGAACGGGTGCTCAGGTGCTAGTCAGGTGCTTAGTGGTGTTAGACGGATGCCAAGATGTCTTCTGCAACTGCTCCCGGACTTGAAGTAATTGGCCACATGGAGATGGGTGGGCAGTGCCTCCACTTTACAAACCAGAAGCTGATGAATGTGTCTGGAGTCTAGGCCATGGGCTGTGCAGGGATTCCCGTTATATCTCTTCTAAGCAGGAATTCCTGTGCAGAGTCCTGGCCCTGAAGACCCACTCTCCTTTGCTCCCTGCCAGGTACCTTCTGTGTGACTTCAACCCTACAAAGGGCTTCAGCCTCCGTAGGAACGTCTGCATCCACATTGCCTTCCTCCTGAAGACCCTGCTGAAGATGGAGGAGCCGGTACTGGTGCTATCCCCTTGGGGCCAACTCTACCACTGGCAGAGCCCCGACATCAACCAGGTCTGGATTCCCTGGTCCGACTCCTTTGACCTCCCACGTCTCAACAGAAACATCCCTGACATTGAGTATGAGCAGTTCATTGCAGGTGAGGTGGTGGTCATTTAACTGGGGCCAGGTGGTCGTTGTTCTGGTTCCGATCTGAACATCGGGCCATCTTACTTTGGGCTTGTCGGTCTGCTTAGGGGCCCTGCTCATGTTTCCCACACTGCAGGTGAATTTGGTTTTTCCATAGTTTTTTCGGGAAATCAATTTGAAATGTGTGAGCTCTATGTCCCCTCACCTGTGAAAACCCTGGCCTCCTGGTGAAATGGAGCTGTGACAAGGAGGCCACTGCCACAGTGGCCTGTCCCAGAAGGACTCGCTCCCTGAGCAGTCAGGGCTGTTCTTACCTGTAGGAAAACACGATGTGTGTGTAGCATGGGCCACGTGCTGGGGAAGATATGTAACTGCCCATACAGTATAATTTGGTCCTGCTCAAGCTACCCATTTTAAGTTTTGTAAGAGGGAAGTGTTCAAGATTTTCTTTGAATAAAGGTATTTAGTGCTTATCAATATTTTTTAAATTGAAATGTGGTTGATTTACAATGTTTTGCTAGTTTCAGGTATACAGCATAGTGATTCAGTTGTACATATACATAGTCTATTCTTTTTCAGGTTCTTTTCCATTATAGGTTGCAAGATACTGAATATTGTTCCCTGTGTTCTACAGTGAATCCTTGTCGTTTGTCTGTTTTACATATAGTAATTTGTATCTGTTGATCCCAAACTCCTAAGTTTGGTTTATAAGTCTGTGAGTCTGTTTTGTTTTATAAATAAGTTCATTTGTATCATTTTTTTAAAATTCCACATATAAATGATATCATATCTTACTTGTCTTTGTCTGACTTATTTCACTTAGTGAGATAATCTCCAGTTCCATCCAAGTTTCTGTAAATGGCCTTATTTCCTTCTTTGTTATGACTGAGTAATATTCTGTTATATCTAAATACCATATCTTTATCCAGTC